ACGTTCACACATAGGCTGGGCATTTCACCACAGAACAGAGCCCCTCACCCTATCAGGGTCTGAGATTTATGGATTTTCTGTCAAGCCACAGTTTCTCAGCCTCTGGGCACACTGGGTGAGCTCCTATGCACACAGCAGGGAATAAAACTTGAGGAACTCACAACCCTGGGGAAGTGCTATGGGCAGGAAATATGAAAGCATCAAAAAGAATTCTGGACAGATCTATGATGGAGCCATAAATGGTGAAAAAGAGAAGTTGGGATACACCTAACCTTTGAGGCTGATGGGAGTGAAGAGTAAGCTCCTCCCTTGGCACATTCCCTGGGCCTGCTGTCCAACAGAAAATGACACTGTGGAGCATGGGTGGCTCTGACCCAAAGTGACAACTTCTATATTCCCACGATAAACACACAGAACATGAATTTTTCCCCGTTACTCTCTTGGTTGAGGAAAGAGACAGGAGGTGGTGGGATTCGAATCCAGAACTATTTGGTTCCAACTATATGTTCTTTGCACTTTGCCATATGGGATAAGATGTTCATGGCAGCCTAAATGTTGGGAGTGCCATGTCAGTCTTTTGAGCTCTTAAGTTGATTGTGCAGTTCTAGCTGTGCTGAGAAAAGACATGGTTGGCATTACCTATCAGCCTGGTGGCAGGAAATGAGAACAAATCTCTCGAAGGAGCTGTAGCTTCTTTCACTGGGTGTGTCTTCCATAGAATCATGCTTGGACACAGCTGGATGGGACCCGCAGCTTCCATCATGGGGCCACAGACAATATGCAGTCTTCTAGACCAGTGGTCTTATTGTTGCTCGGCACTGCTAAGCTGGGAACAGCCACCACCTCTCTTGAGCGTCTGTTTCAGCTCCTGCCAGCCTCCGTGTGTTCTTTCTACCTTGACTTTCACCTAGATAGTTAGTGCCTTCCGTCTTGGTCCTTAGACTTGCAGAGAAATTCTCAGATTTTGGCTTATAACGGTTGGGTCTCCCGTCCTTTCTCTTGCCTCTTTACGTCCTTCCTGATGTGCCCTTAGTTAACTTATCCTTACCTGGCTGCATGGTTTGGGCTGTGCTAGCTGGCTCAGAGCCACGGTGCCTGTCTGCACTGCCCAGCCCCTGGGGAACATTACCAACAGTGCTCTGCCTGCCATCTCCCTGCTGAGGTTTTAAGACCACAGTCTGCACATGCAGTTTTTATTTGTGTACTTTTCTCAAGGCTCTAAGTTGTTGGAAGGCATTACTCATAACTCAATTTGGGGAATATCTATCTAGATACTCAAGGTTGAGTTAAATATACCAAGTATTTATAACTGCCTCTCTCACTATCCTAATTATAAGAGGGAGGGGGATGCCAAGCCTTTGAAACCTGAAATCAAGTATTCAGCAAAATGCTGGGGAGACCCACCAATCTGTGCAGCCAGGCAACTTTACATGTCGAAGTGTTGCTACAACCTGCTGGCTGCAAATGATAAATTTAGCCTGAAAGATGGCTCAATGTTCCAAAGCCTAGGAAGCAAGCTGACTGCTTTGCACAGGGAGGAGGCACACGTCTGAATAGAGCAGGAGCTAGGAGGAGCGAGCTGCCAATTTGTCCACAGTCTGGAGACATCACTCCTAACCCTGCACTCTCTGCCTCCACCCCCATCCCCCAGCGCTGCCCCTGCCCTGCCCCGCCCTGCCCTGCCCAGCAGAACAAAGAACTGTCTTTACAGTTCAATTCAGTTGAACCCAAGTGAAGCCTGGTATTTAGAGGTCTTTGATGTGACACCTCCCATGTTTAGTTTTACACACCCAGGGGTGTAGGCTCTAACTGGTGTCAACTGTTGGTTTTAACACCCAAGAGAATTGAAGAAGGCTAATGCTCTCCAATAGTTGGGGTGTCTTTAGGAGGACAGGCACCTTCTTCTCTGATTAGCACACTTCTCATTCAAAAGGAAGCAATTAGAGTCCTGTCTGCCAGGACATAAGAAATGTTTGTGGGCTAACAGTGTTTGAGGGAAGGATGAACTTACCAGAGGCAAACAACCTGTGCCTTTATGGGAGAGCCTTCAGCCTAGAATTTTTTGCCTTGGGCCTACCTTTTGAAAGGTTTGGAAGAAGCCGGTTGTGGGTATCAGCTGGATTGTGTACGGAGACTAGGAAATTCTTAAAGATGCTGACGAAGGTTTCTCTCACTTTGCGATTACCTCCATGCCTGGCTTTCTAAATAGGGAAACTGAGCAATGTGTGTCTTTTCATAAGTCCAGGGACTACAAATTCTATTAACAGCACTGTCTTCTCCGGCTTTACAATTAAAAGGTCGCTTTGCCCATAAATGCAGGGGCAGGAACACTACTATCGTGGGTTACACTGACATCTTTGTCTTAGAGAGCTCATGACACTTCCTTTGGAAGGGGCAAGTGTTACTGTTTTCATTTTATTGATAAAAGGTGAGAAGGTGAGAAGAGAGTAAAGTGACCACAGATACATAAGTGGCAATGTAAGACTCAATACTTAGGTCACAGTGGATGACAAATGATGGCAGATGAACTTCCCTCCAGCAGCTGCAGGCCTCATCCCAACGGCCGGGGGACTGAGACAGAGCAAATGACACGGAGGGGGCAGGAAGGAACTCATTACTTCTAGAGTGTGTGGCACAGAGGAACTATCTTCCATAAATTGCTTCCATCTAAGGACCCTCTGGGGTGGGTATTCCTTTCATTTTACAAATGAAAACATTTCATCTCGGAGATGTTCACGTGTGCAGGAACCAAAGGCAAGTCTGTCTGACAAAGGCTATGTGTTCTATCCCCTACACCAGGCAGAACTGACTTCCATAACTTCTTCAAGGTTGAGATCCACTGCATCGGATGACACTGGCTTAGGAAAATTATCTCAGGGTTCCATCTGAAATTCAATTAGCTTAAAACTGCTGCTTGGGAGCCAGTGACCCCTAGGAGTGGCATCTGTGATGGTCTCAGAATTTGGGGTGTAGAGTGGGAAAAAGAAAAGTGAATTTATCTATGAAATCTAATTTGGGGTGCTTTAGATAACCCTTTTTATCTCTTTCTTGGCCTCTCTAGTGAAAGCTCTTTGTACAAAGAAGCTCTCCTCTGCTTTCCCACATAGAAGGGATAAGCACTCAATCACCAAGTGTCCTTTCAAAGGGTGACTTAGTCTTTGGTTGAAATGAATTGGGCCTGTCACTTTTAAAGTGATTCATTCCAGTAAAGGATGGAGAATTTATTACTTTTCAAAACAGATCACTGTGGCGTTGACCTAAAAAGGCCCCAGTGAAGCCTGCCGTGCGGGTCTGACCATGCTGGGCTCAGGCTCTTCCTTCTGTCACACAGCGCAGCGCGCCTTTGCATGGGGGGACCGCAGCCGAGGTCTCTATTCTGGTTATTCAGTGCTGAGGTTCAAAAATAAGTATTTCAGAAATTAGCCATTTTCTACCCCCAGATATGTTAGCAACATTTAAAATGGAATTCATTTCTCCCTAGTTCAAGAAGCTACTCTAAACATGTAATTAGGAGTAAAGAAAGGTTTTTAAAGAAAAGGTTGGCAAGCAGTTAAGTGTACCATTGATTTGGCTCCAGTTTTAGTATGTGTGTTGCAGAAGACCATCACTGATGTCGGGATAACAGATCCACGTGTGTGTCTCTCCTTGCCCCATTCTCCTTATAAGAATGTGGAGATATTACATGTGCAATTATTAGTGTCAAGTATTTTGTTAGAGCATCACATGGGTTTACATGTGTGTGAGACGATGGAGGAGATGACGAAAAAAAATGACAGAAGTCGTTCCTTCCTAAACGTAGGAGGGTAACAGCAGACTCCTCAGCCTAGTGGACAGCACATCACGAAGGGTCAGTAAGAGTCCAATCCTTTCCCGCCCACCTTTTCTCCGTAGAAGAAAAAGCACGCTCCTGCGGGAGGTGCTGGAGGTGGTATTCCGAGGAACACCGCTGATGGCACGCCTGCACGAAGGGCCAAAGCTTGAAGCCCAAGTCAGAAGCTGCAAGGAAACCTACTTTTCCCATGCCTCCTGGATGACCTATAAAATGAGAATAAAACCTGTCTTCCGTGCAGTAAGCTACAGATTTTTTTATGATCTAAGAATAAAAAGAGTTATAGAAACACAAAGCTTTATTTATTACTAATACTCAGCAGGGACTAATTCCCATATGGACACTTGGAGGCCTTAACAACTTGGCAAGGGCTCTTCTGTCTCCCTCCAAGATTAAGCTCCTCATCTCTGGGAACATAAAAACCAATCTGCTATGTAGCTTGAAGAGTCCTTATCCATCAGGCCCCTAAACGGTCTACTAGCTCTCTTCAGAGGCTAAGAAAAAGCTTTAAAATCTTCTGTGACCTTCCTCTCAGCATGTTTGGCTGAAAATGACAAAATGTTCATTTGGAAGCACAGGCAGGCGTATTCTGCTGGTCGGGTCCAAAAGAAATAACAGGAGCTGGGATAAATGAAGTGTTACTGGAAATCTGGGCCACCTGCAGACTCCTAGAACAACTATCCTCTAGAAACTAGCTATAAATACCTTTAGAAATAATTTCCCTTCAAAGGCCCAGGGAAAACATGCCAACTGGATTTTTACAAATGAAAGGTTTACTTTGTCCGGTCAAAGAAAACCTTGACTTCCAAAGGCTCGAAGGCTTGAAGGCTTAAGGGCTCGAAGGCTTGGGCAGGGCTGGGTAGGTTAGTCTGTGGGGTGACACTGCCACCTGGTGGCTGACACACACTATGGCATGAGGAGCTCAGCAACAGGGAAACCACTCCCGCGCTCAAAGAATAACCAGAGCTATTAATAAAAAAGAAACCAAGTTTCCAGGAACAGCCCTTCCTACTGAGAGGCTAATTCTTGTAGAAGTGGCTCCATACATGCAAGGAAAAAAATAATTTAAGCTTGGGATTTACTGTGTGATATGAGCAAAAGACTTTTTCTATCCACTGGATTCTTAGTACCAAGTGTATTGAAGGATAGGATTAAAAAAAACCATCTTGACTGAAGAAAATTCTGAAACATTTTACTTCATATTATATATACTTTTTTTTTTTTTTTAAAAAAGGCAGAAACATTTAGGGTAACGCCATTGACGTGAAAGAGCCTTGAGCCACAGGACCTTGAAAATCGGTCTTAAAATGTTTTGCTTTACATCGTCTTTTTCATGGCTGCTTGTGTCATGCTGAAGAGATAAGCTTCATAGATGATATTTAAGAAGTTGTCATCGTTCTGGAAAACAAAATCAAAAGACCCAAGGGAATGTGATTTGGTTGGCAGAAACCAAAGGAGCTGAACTGGCGTGCTGACCCTGGACACTCATCTCTACTTGTCTGCTCCAATGGCTGGTAGTTCTTCACTGCATGTGTGAATTTTTTTTTTTTTAAGATTTTATTTATTCATTTGAGAGAGAGAGAGAGAGTGAGTGGAGGACAGCAGCAGAGGGAGAAGTAGACTCCCCGCTGAGCCAGGAGTCTGCCGCGGCGCTCCATCCCAGGAAGCTGGGATCATGAGCTGAAGGCAGACGCTTAACCATCTGAGCCACCCAGGCGCCCTGCATGTGTGAATGTTAAGTGGGACTGGAGGCAAGTGCCAGAGTCAGCCGCTGGTTTCCAACAGTCAACAGAAGCAGCAAGTGCTCATTACATACAGTCCAGATAGGTGGCCCAACCACATGGCAGAATGGAATGAGGTTCACTCAAGAAAAGCCTGGGTCTGTTGTGTGAAAAGACACAGGTCCTAACAGAAGGCTGGATTGGGAGGCAATGATCCAGATCAGGGGTTCTCGAAGTTTGGTTAGGAGATTGCTGGTGCTTCTTAAGGGTCCGCCGAAGTCTCCCACAATGTGTATACTTTGCTTTTGGCATTAGTTAAGATTTATTTGCAATATGCTGCATTTATATCATCAAAACCAGCATAATTTTCCCATTAGTCACAGAAGTTTTTGGTCTTGGCAAGCAGGCAGCCGTGAGACTGGTAGTCTCTGGGCTCCTCTGCCTGGCTAAGGGCTGAGGGAGAATCACGGGTCTAAACAGTGGTGCTCTTGGTTTTTAATTCTAGAGACTTCTCCCTCCCACTCAAATCCTTTAAAGCTTTAGCAATTCACCCACATTTCACATTCCCCCTTCATTCCCTCTTGGCACCCCACGCACAGAGCTAGCATTATTCTCATGCAATGAAAGACAGCGATGTTATCCCAGTCTTTCCTTATCCCACAAAGTCCCTGTGTGTGAGATTGTGTCCTACCAACAGGCGAAGGCTAAAAACAGATTGCATGAGTGACTTCCAAGAGTTCACCAGGAAGACGATGTCTACAACACTGGGAAAAGTAAAGCGAATGCAGAGAGTGGAGGGAACATAAATGTAATTTTCTACCTAGCAATAGACAGGGCTTGCTCTAGACTTTCAGAGTCTTGGCTCCTGTTATACAAAGATCTATGGAACGATGTTTTTTAAATGGAATGAACCAGAGGATTTTTTCTTTATTGCTCATAGAAAAATGAAGCTTAAGATGTCCTAAGTCCTCACAAACTTATCACGAATGGGTTGACAAGGTGGGAAATACTTTTATCCTAATATTTGTTCATGAATTAGTATGGCCACCCATTTGTGGTTGATCTTTACTGGACTGCTAATCTGCTTTCACACTCAGATGCTCGTTTCCAGCCCCCTCTCCTTCCCTTCTCTCTAAAATACGTGACCTTTAAAAAATGTTTTTAATAATAGAGACCACTGTCTTTTCAACCAGGATAAGACAAGTGCAAAGTGCTAGCCAGCACTCTGAAAGTCAACTAAAGCTTAAGCGAAGTTCTACAAAAATTTTCTTAAAGATTGTATTAAAAGGACACCTAGCTTTGTTCACTGAGGTGCCTGAAGTCTGTCTGGTTGGAAGTGCCCCACTTTTCAAGGCCTCGCATCTATTTTTGGGGTGTGCTTCGCTAGGTGGACGGCCAACTGGCCTCCCGGGGCCTGGCCCTCCTGCTCCCGTCACTACCGCAGCCCCCAGTCCGGCGCAGGGGAAGGAGCATTCTGCAGCCAGACTGGGGTTGAAGCCTAGCTCTGCTATTTACTAGCTGTGACCTCAGGCCCGTCACTTAGCCTCAGTTTCTCTGTCTCTAAAACAGACAAAAAAAAAATAGGGTTGTTGTATAAGGATAAAATGAATTAATGTAGGTAAAGCATTTAAAACAGTGCCTGGCACAAAGGTCTCCGCAAGCGTCAGCTGTTACGTTGTGATCACCTCCCAGAGCCGAGTGAGACACATGGCTGACAGAGAAGTCCCGTCAGTCCATCCTGTCCTAATTAGCAGGTTTCAGAATTATTTGTAAAATATGCCCTTCGTAGTCACAGTCATGACTCCTTCCCTGTTCCCTCCTCCTTCAGCAGTCCGCCGGAGCTGTCCCTGAAATGCCGCCGCTTGCTCAACGTGGCTCTGACCTCTATTGCCCAACGGTGAGCTGTCTGGGTGGCCGCGCGGCACCCAGACTCCTCCCAGGGGCTGCTAAGGATACAGTGCATGCTTCTTTTCTTTTCTGGCAGGTGACAGCCTGGAGGACCCAGGCAGTCCTCCATGTTACAAAATCCTTCATGTCGTGACACGCCCAAAGCCACAGCTAGTCTTCCGAATCTCCTCCAGTTAACCGAGCACAGAAACCATGGGCCTAGTTTAGGTCGAACTGTTACGTGGTCTCCTTATTCTTGGGGAGTACTTAGCAGGCGTTAGCTAACTGACGCTTCCTCTCCTACAGCCCACAGGTCGGCAGAGCTGGTAAGGGCAAGAAGGGAGATGACACGGCCCTCCTACCTGAATGAGGTACAGCAGTGCTTCCTGAAGTTGTAGCTTGGTAAGTGGGCTGCTGGTGATCACGGGGGGCTCCGGGGTCCGCAGAGGCAGGAGGAGGCCGGCGGAAGTGGCAGCTGGTTCTTGGCTTCCCAGGGGCAAGAGCCCAGCATCCCTCTCCTTTGGTGGGGCACAGGTGGGTTGGGTGAACACCATGGGGGACATGAGCAGAGAAGGAGCCCATGTGGCAGGGACGCGCGGAGGCGAGGTGCCCTGCTCACGGCAAATACACACAGAGGGCAGTGGTAAGTAGCGGCTCACCGAACACCGAGGGAGAGGGAGAGAGACACCCGTCACTTGCAAGCGTGGAGAGAAGTGAGGCTCAATAGGAACTGTTGCCAGTTCTCTTGGTGGGCAAAGCCTGTGGGAGCCTGATTCCTGTTCGCTTCTCCACTTGCACCTGCTGGGGGCACACACACATTTCCTCCACATGGAGGAAGCTTCCCAGCCTCTCTCTGCCTGCTCACTGACTTCTCACTGGGACGGAGGCAAGCTTATCGGGGTCACCCATCTTGGGTCCCCCTTCCTGAGAGGATCTGCCCGCTTGCAGACAGCATACACTCCCGGCGTCTCCGGCTCAAGTTTTGGGTGCAGGGAGGGCTGGTCGTGCTCAGCACTGCCAGTGCTTTGTCTGTCCTCACGAGTATGTCTACCTCGTTTGGCTACAGACCTAAAACCAAGTTTTCCAATAGCCTTTCCAGTTATGCAAGTGACATTCTGATCTTCGTCTGACTCCTACGGCTAGCTCTCATTTGTTTCTAATGCAGGCGAGAAAAAAGAATGTTACTTATCAGCCTTCTAATGCCCCAAAAGAACTCACAAGAAGGGGGACATAAGGCCCGCAGTCTAGAAGCTGCTGTGATTTCACTCCCTCAGTATCTTTGTGGGCGGAAGGAAGCTTGGAGGAAGGTAGGTTGCGTGTTTCCTTTAAGTGTCCCTGTCTGCCGTTTGGAGCCGTTTGGAGCCGAGGAGCTAGAACGGATGCCACCCCAGTGGGGGTCCCAGCACCCGCCGTGAGGAAGAGCGCATGGTCCACACCTGTGGGTGCTCAAGAGAAATGGGAATTGTGTCCGCAGAAGCCGATGTCAAACTACTAACCCCGGTTTTCCCAGTGTCCCATCTAGTGTCCTAGTTTCCCTGGTGTCCCATCCCACCAAGAGAAAAAAAGCAGGTATGAAAGAGGGGACAACACGCACTGAAATGGGGATGCGGGAGGCTAACAACCGTTCCTCTGTGACTGTAATAAATAATGAACAAGAACGCTGGGACTCAGGCTCTCACATACACAAAGACTTATGCTACATGTCCAATATCTTTGTTTTCAAAAAAGTGAAGGCTTGTTGAGGACCTGTTGTAAGCTACTTGCCAAAACATGACAAAAGGGCCAATGATGACATCTGTAATAAACAGGGAGAATGTCCTAATTATTAAACCCAATGCCTTTTCAATGCATTTGTACCAATCCAAGTGGGAAAAAAAAATCAGATCTCCAGATGTTCCTCACAGGCCATAAAATGGCTGTGGTTTCATCGCTGTTCCAAGTTACTGATACATAGAGAGTCACCTTCGTTGAGGGACAGAGTGTTTCTAAAAGTCACAGTATTTTCCCGACTGGTACTCTGTGTGTGTGGTGGGGGGTAGGGGGCGGGGACTCAGATGGCATACTTAACTTACCCCTCTCTCACTCTTCATTAAGCTACAGTGCTGATAGAAATAAAAACAGCCTGTACCTTTGAGGAGTTGATGTGTTTTTCCTGTTGACTTCAAGCACCCCCGGGACCACGGGCCCTGCAGAGGTGTGAGTATGTGAGCCTCTTCACGAACAATGAGGTATGTAACCTCAAGTAGCACAACGCCTGGCATGGAGTAAGTGCTCAGAAATATGTACTGAATAAATAAACAGTAATGATTTTAAAATAAGAAGAAGAAGTCAGATGTCTGGTATCTCAAATGATTTCAATGCAGACAGGAAGTGTTCTCGGTCAAAGATTCGGGGGTTTTCCTCATGTCTCTGTTGTTTCCCGTGTCCATGTGCTTGTCTCAGACCTTACAACACCATGCCGATTTAACTCGACAAATAAAGTACCTCTAAAAGGAGGGAAACCCCCAGATGGCTAAGCAAAGAAAGGCTGGTCTCTCCAGGCGGAAAGTTATGGGGATAATAAGATGTGCAGATGTGGCTTGTGGCGTCCTGTTCTACACAGAAGGGTCCCCAGAGCACCGAAGCTGATTCTAGGTCTCACCGAGTATTCACGAAGTACTAGAGCAATACGGCTCCCCACCCCCACCCCCGAAGATACCTACCTGAAAAAGAGGAGTCTGCTTTTCTGCGCCGGCTGTGCTGTGCATCCAGGACTCCAGCACTTTCCCCGTCCCGGAGCTCTGAGTTACCGCGGGGAACTTGGCTGCCAAGGCTGGTCGGTTAGACGCGTGCAGCTGCTGTTCCTGTTGTACAATCTGAAGCTTCCTCAGTAACTCCTGAGGGGAGATCACTCCAGAACTGCTAGTCTGACTGCCAGAGAGGGGGAGCGTGGGTCTCGGGTGTGTGGACTGCTCTTTGCCGTGAGCCTGATGTCCTAGTGGCTGAGCTGGAAGGGAGCCATTGAAATACCCCGCTTGTGCCTGAGCCAGCCCCTTTACTGGGGCACCAGGGGTGGCCGTGGGGAGAGCGGTGCTGAGGTTTGGGGCCGCTGAGCTGGCAGGTGCTGGTGTGCTAGGGTCATACTTACTTGCTGGCCTCGGGGCACTCTGAAGCTTCTCCAGCAGGCTCTGAGTTCTGGAAGCACTCTGTACATGCTGAGAAGTCCCAAAGCTATGGGGAGACCCTGGCTGCACAGGTCCCAGAAAAACTTCCCCAGCAGAATGGGTACTGCCGTTTCTGCAGGGCCGGTTTTCAGGCAGCTCTGACAAGGGGTGGAGGTCTGCGCTCCGGACCATGAGTTTCTGAATGGCTGGACAGAGCTGCTTCTCGATGGGGGGCGAGTGTCTTCTGGGTTCCTCATAGGAGAGGGAGCGTACGACCCCCTGCCTTATTGGAAGTGGCTCCTGGTGCTGTTGCTGGTAGATGGTCTGTGGGGACCCCACAGTTTCCTGATATGTAGATTTGTCCTGCTTCCCAAAGAGAGCTGTCAAGGACAAGTGTTGGGGTTCGGGGTCTAAGGTCTGGAAAAAATAAAAATGTCTGAAAATGCGTCTACATACAATTTGGTTATATGGCAGGCTATGAAACATTACTAACCTAACTGATGATTTCTTTATTTACATAGGATCAATTATAGAGGATGAAAAACCTATAATTCTAATCAATTTTACAAATTTAAGACCTCCTTTCCAGGTAAAAAATTTTCACAGCATTCTTCACTCCTACCCCCAAGACAGCAGTTATATTTTAGCATCTGCTGATTGATGAAATAGCCCTTGATGGGCCTGGGGTTCACAGACTGGGGACCACTGCGGCGTAAAGTTCTAGATACTGAAAGGGAAATGATCTCTTCAACAGGAAGTCCGCCTACCCCTGCAGAGTGTAAGAAGATGCTGAGAACACACAGGAATATGAGGATGTCAGTAGCTTTTCGTAGAATTAGAGAAATTTAGGATAAGTCATTTAAACTAACTTGATCCTTTCAACTATATACTAGTAGCTTTAAAAAAAATCATCATATGCAATCTGCCCTGGCCTAGTCAGTCACAAAGGTACCTCCTTCCTGCCCTATAGCTCCTCCTGCTCCTTCTGGGGCTTTCCGTGTTGTTGGGCTAAGAAAACATGAGCTTCCTTCTAACATCAACATATTCCAGTTTCTTTATTAAAATAAAAAATTTCCATGGAAGGCAAAGAATAAAAGCAAGCTAAAAGATAATTAGAAAAGACTTATTTTTTCAAAAATTCAATACAAGACTTTCATTAGGCAGTCTTTTATGTCTTTTGGCTCTATGTTCATTTCCAAAATTGATTTAAATGAATTCCTTTAAAAAAACCCAAACCCTTAATGAGGAATAACCATAGGAAGTGGAAATAGCTATACTACATTGACAGTCAATAATGGGCCTTGCAGATGAACAATTTTGTTAATGCTGCACTATTTTGGAAAATACATATACTCATACCAAAAAATGCTATCATTTTCATATATTTAGATGCAAATACAATGATAACCCAGCAGCTCTACAGGGGAATTTTATATCACTCCTTAGAATAGGAATCCCCTTCTATACACACCGTACCTAGCACTGTACCTGGAACGGAGGAAGTGCTCAGAAATGTTTAACTGAGTGTTGCCTTGGCTGTCCTTCTCCCAGGCCTTGGGAAACCAGCCACCTACCGCAGAAGAATGCAGGCCTGGCAGGTAATATTCCTGTCAGCTCTGACAATGTTATGAGTTTGCTGTTTTTAAAAAATACATTATCCTCTAAGAAGTTCAAGTCCACAAGAGATGAACACAGAATACGGTAAATGCCAAAATTAAAAATTTCAACCCCCTTCTAGGAAGAATACATTATTAAAATGAAAACAATCTTGAAGTTGAAATCTCTCTTTCTTGGATTTACCCTGAAGCATCCTTGAACAGCACCAGTTTCTCCCTTGACTATACTCTGGGTAAGACTTCTTTAACAATCCTATAGGGACATTGTAAATGGAAAGCAGAGGACTTCATACCTGGCTGGGCCGAGGTATGCGCTGTTGCTGGTTTTCACTGGGCTTCACTGGAATTGGTTTGATGAGATTGGGGTTGTCATAGATGGCAGATGAACTGGTTATCTGTTTTGGCTCAGAACAGGTTTTACACTGAAATGGAAAAAATAACCTAATTTTTAGTGTAAAAGAAGCTTTAATCTTTTTAAAAGAATGTTACTTCTTGCTCTTTATTTTATCTAATTGGTAGCTATTTTTTGATAGACTTTCATGCAAAAAGGAAAATTACTTACTCTCCTCTGATATGAGCTATATTTGAGTATAAATCAAATTCCAATTTAATTTTTCTTAGTTGCACAATTTTGGTGCCCTAAAATATTACCAACAGCATCAGCCTGTAAGACCCAGAGGCTCTGAGATACTTGGATATTTGAAAGGCTATAGATACGCTCAAGAAGCAATTGTTTTAAAAATATGGAGTCTAATGCTTTTCAGTGATAAACAGTGATAGAAACAATTCTTTAAATGCCATGTCTGGATTACAGTATGGTTTTATTCACCCATTAGCAGTTGACTTAAAATCGGAGAGTTGCATCACCAAAGCAACTGTCCCTTTTCAGTCTACAAACCAAAAAGTAAAGCTGACTCAAACCATTGACTTAAAAGTTACGAACATCATCTTTATTTAATAAATGACTTTTAACACAAACAGGATAATTCAAATCTTGAGTGTTCTGAGCCACTCACTACAAATTAGAACCTCACAGAGAAAGAGATGAGAGACAAGACTCATCATTTCAAATACTGAATCATTATCATACATTAATCTAATCAACCATACAATTGCTAACACAGTAGGATTCATAACACAAAGAACACAGCGATGATGGCAGTATCTATTTTGTTAAAACACCAAATAAAACTGAATATAAAACCACTACTTCTATTCTATACTCTCTATAGCATTGCTAGTTTCAACTGTCAAGGCCTCAGGTAGGAAAATATTTCATACTGTCCCTGACATGGAATGAGCTATAAACACAATCTCGTCCCCCAGGAACGCAAGGCTTCCAATGTATTTTACAGTTATTGGGTTGTATTTTCTAATTCGAGGATGTAGGAGTATGGGGTCAATCACCACCATGTTCACTTGGGGTTGTAAAGTTAATTGTACAAAAGACTAATCATTTTTGACTGAGAATTCTATCAGTAATTTGGATATCTGGCACTAGATTAAGTGGGATGTGAAATCCCTTTATGAGTCATAAAATGCTATTTCTAATTCTTAGGTGAATGCTGGTGGTTAATGGTATGGATGCATGGACCAACTGGCCTGGCTTTCCACGGCCATAACCAACACAAGACGAGAAGACAGCCTAAGATAGAGTCACTTACAAAATTTTAGCATGAATTTCTGCTTGCTATGTAAAAGAAAGTGGATGCTCAGATTACATTCGCTGAATGACACTGTCTGTACTTTTTCTTTTTAAAGATTTTATTTATTCATTTATGAGAGAGAGAGAGAGAGTGCAAGTGTGGGGGCAGGGGCGGAGAAGCAAAGGGAGAGGGACAAGTGGGGAGAGGAGCAGAGGAAGAGGGACAAGCAGACTCTGTGCTGAGCACGAAGCCTGATGCGGGGCTGGATCTCACGACCCTGAGATCCCAACCCTGAGATCACGACCTGAGCGGAAATCAGAAGTTGGATGCCCAACCGACTGAGCCACCCAGGCACACCCCTACTTTTTCACTCTCTATGTTCAGAGACCTTGAATTTCAAACAAAGAAAAACAGATTCTCCCCACCTTCGCTATACACATACATACCTGGGCTGAGAGGCTGCTCTGTCTCTTGCTATGTATAAGCCCTAGATAGCCTTTCTAAGTAAAATTGCTAGAAGCTGTTTTCTGTGTCACTATCTATCACTGAAACCTTGCTTTCATGTAAAAATTGCTCTCTATCAAATTGCTCAGAATTAAATATCATCTACCTCAATAGTTTGTAGCTCATTTTCCAGCTGTTTAATTTTCTTTAAAAAAAAATTTTTTTTTTAAGATTTTATTTATTTTTTGACTGAGAAAGAGAGAGCAAGAGAGGGAACACAAGCAGGGGGTGGGAACACAAGCAGGCTTCCTGCGGAGCAGGGAGCCCGACGCGGGGCTCGATCCCAGGACCCTGGGATCATGACCTGAGCCAAAGGCAGACGCGTAATGACTGAGCCACCCAGGTGCCCGCAGCTGTTTAATTTTCTATGCTTCTACTGACCCAAATAACTTTAAGATACTTGGAAAAAAACACAAAGTTGGAAAAAGTGTATAATGGATTCTCCATAGAGATCCCAAAGCACTTCTTTAAAGCCTTAAAAATTATGTCACATGATCTCATTTTCTCACACACAAACACAAAAACATATGTACTCATGCCAAGAGAAAAGTCTGGAAGAAAATACACTGAAAGTATTAAAAGTAGACATCTACTTTTTTGAATTTTCTCACTAAGCATCAAAAGACACTTAATTTCTTTAATTTTATAAATAAATCAGAGTATATTAAAAGAGAACTATTAATTCTTGCCTTAAGCCACAAAACACAAAATAATCCACTTCTGCATACTCAGAACTCAACTATGCAGCCAAAGACCCTTTCTGGCCCTGGTTCTTTCTCTTACTGAGAGTTGGTGGTCTTATTGTTCATTTGCATCTCAACCATGAGTCTAATAGGGAGGAGGTAAAAGGACGTGAAGTTCAAATTAACATCATGCTACTTTATAGCAGATTCACAGAAAGTTGTTTCTTAGGGGGAAAAAACATAAAATATTGGCCAAAATAAGGTTTTCAGATTATTTTATTAACTTCATGTAAACAGTTGCATCTGATGTCACTAGGCTTCACTTTACCAACATCATGTCACCATATGTCACTTCTAGCTGAAAAGTTTTCCTCCTCTTACTTTTTGGGATTTTCATAAACTGAAGCATTTTAAAGTTGGGAAAATCTCAGAAGTCACTGAGTTTAGTCCCTACCCAGAGAAGTGAGATTTTTTTCCTAATACCCCAGTATGTCCTCATGCAGTTTCTTCCTGAATACTCCCAGTGATGGGACAGCCACTTCCTCTCAAGAATTCCCAGGGAAATCTTGTCTTCTTCTCTTTTGCTTCTGTCTGTGTTCCCCCTTTCTGTACCTCAGAGCCATTTTACCCATGATCTCCACATCTTCTGAAATGTCTGTGTGTGGGAGAAGAGGTAACACAAACACAGGCAAATATAAAGCAGGTTTGCACAGTGCAGTGGAAGTTCATGGGGAAGCATATACATCTGGTTGTGTAGATCAGAAATTACAGGATGGACAAAGAACATTTGAAATGGACCCTGAATGGCTGATCATACGTTGACAGGTAAAGAAGGAGAGGGGACAGCAAGGGAAGAAGTCCATGAAGTTCCTCAACAATGTTGAGGAAGCAACACTGTTATTCCATTTGGCAGGAGTTTCAAATATTTGTAGAGGGAAGTGTGGGGAGAAGGTAGAGACATTAAGAGAATAAACTGGGGCCACGTTATATAATCCTTGAAGAGTCCGAAGTTCATATGCTAGGCAATGAGAAACCAAGAAGAATTTAGACCAGAGAAGTAACAGGATCACACAGGTGCTCCTAGAAGGTTACATCCTCTGGTTGTTAATGGCAGAAGGGATAATTTCTTCTGTTGTTTATCACACAGTTGGAGCAATTAACATTATGTATATAACATGTATTTGATTATATAGAAAAGCAAGTCTATATACCAATGAAACATCTGTACTTCATGTCAACATTGTAACAACCAATCTGGGGGGGGGTAATGATGAACAGAACACTGTTTTGACCTCAACAAGTTTATAGTGGGAGAAGTTGACCTAACTGTAATAAATGAGGAAGAGCAAAATAAATTCCAAATAGTAACAGACTGGTGAGTTCAGTGGGAAGAATAATTAATCTAAATGAAGAGATCTGGGAAAACTCCATGTAAAAAGTGGAATTTTAACTGGGCTTGAAGAATATGTAGATTCTGAAGGGCAAATAAAGTGAGGGGGAAACACTGCAAGTTGTAGGTACAGTATAAAGTGATGGCTTAATTAAGTCTCTGAAACCACATATGAGTGTTTCTGTGTGTGCGTGTGTGTGTGGGCGTGCATGTGTGTGTGCGCGTGTGTGTATTCCCTGTTCTTTTATGAGACAGTCAGGTGCAGCTAGAGGGGAGACACTGGAGGGGCTCAGGAAACAAATATACTCATAGGTCCTATAGTAACAGGAGGCCAGATGGGGAAGCCTCAGGATGGGCAGGAGACAGAAAGCAGGAGCTAGGGGTAAGTCAAGGCTAGAACCTCTATGGGGGTTTCTGCACTTTAGGATTGGCTAGTTTGGATAATTTTCAGTAGGCTTTAAACTACAGGGTGGTCCCTAGTCCCCGACCTGAGATGATTAAGGCAGAGGAGTATTGCCTCCTGGAGGGCTGGGGGCCAGATGGAAAAGGGATGGCTCTGGATGGCTAGTTTGCATGGCAAGGGCAGCTTCTGGCTGGGACCTTGGCTAGCTCTAAGAATTAACTAGCCCAGGGGAACCTGGATGACTCTGTTGGTTAAGCACTCAGCTCTTGATCTCAGCTTGGGTCTTGATCTCAGGGTCATGAGTTCAGGCCCTGTGTTGGGCTCCACGCTGGGCGGAGCCTAAATAGGCTAGCCCAGGGAGGAGGATTCTGGCCCCAACCAGAAGACTTTTAAGATGTCAAAACATCATAAAATAAAAATAATACAATATGTGTGTGTGCTGAGAGGAGGGAGGGAGAAGAAAGAAAATAATTTTTGTTCAGTATTTGCATTTATTATTTATTGGCCATTGTTATGCTGTCCTCACAGAACCTAAGTTCCTGGAGAGCAAAAATGTCACCATTTAAGATTGATCTTTAGGGCGCCTAACATAGTACAGTTAGGTAAAGTATAATTAATTGATAGTTGCCAAGTCATTAGGATGTCTCTTAACAGCTGCTGAAGAATTAAGCAAAATGGAAAACTAATACAGAAATCGTTGTTACTGACCGCATCTTGGATTAAAGTGTCTCTGTCCAGGCCCTCTGATTGAAGGACAATGAAACTGTGATTAATTCATATTCATATGCATTCAATC